TAAAAATTTTTATTATTTAGATCAGCAAGTGATAAAACACTTCAAATAAATAACTAAAAATTTTCTAGCAAGATAACGCATCAAACCGCGAACGACATTTCTGTGATAACAGATTCAATGACGTTGTCGTTATGAATGAAAAGAACATTACGTGTGCTGCTTGAAATGGTCCTGGAAAGATCCGGAAACTTGCGGAAACCCGATACTTGAACCTCTTTATAGAACGAGTTTTAGAATGAGTTTTTCTGTATTTACGTAATCGATGCCACTCACAAAAGTGGACGACGATTCTCCGGAAAATGTTGAAGCAGCTATTACAGCGTCCAACCTTATAAAACCTAAATTGCATGAGAAATGGTCAAGCGGGCAATATAGGTTGAGTAATATTATATTTGTTAATTTGTGAAACATAATCCTGGACAGTTGTGCGGGATTCTACCTGTAGCTTCGCGTGGAAAGTCGAGCCTCGATTTCCAACGAGGCTCTCTTGAAAGCGGCCTTCAGTCGTCGATTCATCAAGATCAAAGATACTGTCACATTCTATCGCGGATAAAATCATTTAATGTTTATGCATTTCACGATGATTCACAAAGGCTTGCGGCAGATATTAATCCTTTAACAAAAATATACAAGAAATAGAATAAACGTAAAAAAAGAGAAAATACAATCAAATAAAATTATTCGAACAATTGTATCAGATTTTTATAATTCATATAAGATCTAAAATTTTAAAAACATAATATTAAAATAACATAAAACATCATTACTCGTATTTTTACATCTTTATTAGTTTAAATTAAATGTTTAATGTTGAAACAGAGTGCATAATTTTATAATTCTGTGCAAAGTATGTTTTAAGAATTAACAATGTTACAAGTAACATATTCTCTAATAATATAGAGTGATTCAAAATAATCTAATTCTTGTTCTAATCCTAATCCTTGAAATGGCATTCCTGAGCGATTTCTAAGACGATTTTTCCTTTTGCAAAATTTTATCTGCAGCTTAGTTTTCGAGTTATAATTTCTATCTGTATATTATCTGTATGTTGGTTGCGATGGAAAGGCATCGGTGATAGACAATGATAAAGAATTACCATTTTGGGAATTATCGGAAAATACCTGAAAGACCTTTGTCCATTTCAAACACTAAGCCGCCTAATTTCATTCTCTGGTGTCTAGATAGTATTTCATCTTCGATAAATCCCCCGAACAGGTAAAAATAAGGGTGAACTGCGGTAGGGGATATTCCCACGCTTCAGCTTGCAAAACACCGATCGGGGCTTGAGTGATGCGCCATGGATGTGTTATTTTCGTGGAAACTCTTGCGTGCGGACGTCACTACTCATATCCGGTCATGGACCAACCACTGTGTTAAACACTCTGGGAATCCTATTACTGTGTAATTTATTATGCTCGCGCTTACACGCAAAATCATAATTCGACGCCTCTATCATGAGCAGCACGAAACAATCGCATCGATATTTAATAAGTAGATGTTATTAAATTTTTCTTTCTCTCAACTAGAAAGATTCTTGTTAGCTTTAAACGAAGAAAAATTTATTTATATACGCTTTCAAACATTCTACAGTTTTAATCCAATACCTAAAAAATTTATATATTATATATACATAAATAATTATACATTATTTTTGTCACATATAAGTTTTTAGTGCGCACTATATTACTTTGGGTTGCACAAAATTCCATCCGCGGACGCTTTTCCCACGTGCATGGCTATTTGGACACATATAAAACGGACACGTCACCGAACGCCTAACTTCTTTATTCGAGTCGATTCATCTCCGTCCATCCCCTTTTCTGACGCAGGAGGCAATAAAAGTTTGGCGTAACCCTTTTCACGTCCGAGCATCCCCCGCATCAGAGACATGTATAGCCTCTTATGTAAACGACTATTCAAATAGCGGATCCCGACGCATACCTGTGCGGCTTGGGAAACCAGCGAGACCTTTGGAAAAAAAAATGCAATTTTGAGAGAAAGGACAGAGCCGATCATGCGACGTTTACCGGACCTCTACGATGTGTGTTTACGCTGGGGTTGACTCACCTCTTTCCAAATTCACGTTTGACCCCGCGTCTTCGATATTCGTCCGTTGCGTTTGAATGGATATCATACCGTGGGAGAGTCCCGCATTCGGGTTAACGCTCCGAAAAACTTCGTAATTTCCTTTCCAGATTTTCGCAATCGCTTCACCTGCGTCGCCGTGCCAGGTAATAGGGAGATGACGCGTTGCGGTTGTATTATTCGAGTGTGGGAATGCCAGAATTTCACGTTTCATCGTGACTCCCTTTCATATTAATCTATCCTTTCAAATTTTACCTTAGCCTTCATTGCGGAAAAAGGAATAATGCATTTTATTGCATCACTCATGATTAATAACGCATATCCTAGCGTAAGACAGTATTTCTGAAATTATATAATAAATTATATGATATCAATGAAGCACTGCTGAACTTTAATAGACGCGTTAATATTTGGAATATTTTTTTTTAATGCGATAGACAATGAAAGTATCAATTTTATGACATGTTTATTTGTTTTTTACGCTTGACGTTTTATCGCTAGTTAGAATTTCAAACATACATTCGACACGTTTCGTTAATGCTGAAATGTCAATCAGTAGGAAAGGATCACTTAAAAAGAAAAATCAACTAAAAAGTCAGCGTGCTCATATTAAGTATTTCAAAAATGGAGAAAACTGGACCATCGGTTTTGAAATATAACGTAAAGTTTCACACGCAGCGTCATATGATGCTGGATCTGTTTCCACTCTCTCACGTTCATCTGGCTATTTCCCGTCCCGAACGTGTCCAGCCGCGTTTTCTCAGCAAAAGGATGCTCTTTGAATTCTTCCTAGAAATTGCAATGCATAAATATATGAAACATCTCTATTCAAACATAAAATAAATATTTTGAATAAGTCAATTTGTTAATAAAATTAATATAAAATATTTTCGAACATTTAAATTTAAATTGTTTTATTTAAAATGTATTGCGATTCTTTTTTAATACAAAAAATATTATAGTTTCCTTTGGATATAATAATTATTAATTTACAGATTGATGTTAAGTCAGAGAAAAGGAAACGCACGATTACAGCTACTTCGTATCAACCATTATTACCGACCGTTTTTTTTCAGAGATTTGTTTTAATTTTTACAATCGAGATAAAAGCATTGCAAGGTTTTATGAAGAAAGATTGCGCACGAACTCGGCGGGATAGTCTTGTGCGCATGAAAGGGACAAACGGCACTTCGCCCTAAGCAAACACCCACAGGGTCCACGATGTGCATTATGCAACTTGATGTAACCGCGCTGTGGATCTTTCAAACTAGTTTTTATTGCTTCTCTCTTCTCAGCACCGTCTTAGAACTTCCACTAGCAAAATTATTCGATATTCGCTCTTCCTTTACTTTAATCTAAAATCGTAATGTCGTTTCAAAATCAACTACTTATCCAATTATTTGTCGAATTTTTGATTCACAATCGTATATTCGAGACATCGGTATATACTCGTTCAGTTGTTAAAACATAGCTTCTGGCCTTGTATGCTGCCGTGTGCGAGGATCGCGTAGGAAGTGGCGCAACGTGCGTGAGTCCATTTATATGAGAGGCGTGGTTATCATATTTAATATTTACTTCCGCGTACAAATAAGCCGGTGCTTCTCTTGGATAACGCTTAAAAAGCATGAAATTTATATCGAGCGAGGAATGAAATATTGTATAAATCAAATCTTTAACTAAATTATGCGATAACATATTATTTTTAAATACAATCGTCAAAGAATCTACAATAATGTACGCGTACAAACAACCTTATTAGGGTTGAGAAGCACTGATGCAGTGATTCGATCGATGCGATCGTAGAACACGATCGTTGATTAAGCCTTTCTTTTGATCAAGCCGTTCGTCTAAAAGGTGAGCCGCGGTCAAAAGGCGCGTAATATGTCTGACACGCGCATCTATTTAATTAAGATATTTAGAAAACCGCGATTAATGAAAAGGGTCGCGATACCGTATCTAACTCACGCGATACGGCATCTAATGCTAATGAAAAACACGGAACTAATTTTATCACGCGTTACACGGTTCCTTGATGTATCAAATCGATTTTGTATTGTACACAAACTCACACCTTGTTATAACACGATATTTCACTATAAATAATATAGTATCGCATTATGAATAATTTATACTTTCTCTGTAGGGTGCTAAAAAAAATTCTGAGGAAATGTAGCGTTCACGTTTCAAAATTGACGCATTTTTTTCTCTTGTTATGCTGATGTGGAACTTTTTTATCTCTACGGTCAGGAAAAGAGTTAATCGCGTGAAAAGGAAAAGATTTTGGTTTAACTAAGGAATTTTATGTAAATTCCTTTTATATAAGAATTCCTTTTACGTGAGAAGAAAAGTTTCCTAACGTTTCTATCTTATTATTATCTTTTCACCCTTCCACTTTATGGTACATATTTTTGTTCTAAAGAGTATCAGATATAGCTCTTTCTAGGCATTTTAAATAGGTAAAAGCGAAAGATAAAAACATGATTATTTATGCTTATGAATTTTGTACAGATATGACTATCGGGCTTCTTTGTACGCTTGTCGAAATGTACGTACGAGTAATATAAGAAACTCATAAATTACACAGAAGAATTTTTGACACAAGTACAAAGGCGTACAAAGGCACTTTTTACAATTGTTATGTTTACGATCTCTCCATTGACACTTTCCAATAATAAAAAGTTGCGAGATATAAAATATGGTTACATAAAAAATAGAATAAAAAGAAACATGAATACTAAACTTAAAAAAAAAACAATGCAATCTTTACTTTTGTTTTTTTGACTTCTAAAATAGCGTTACACTTAAGCAATAGATATATATTTGACATTATATGTGTTCATAAAAATATATTATTTTATTTTTTCTATACTTTATTATCCTTTGCGAAAGTAATTTAATGAAAACTAACATTACAGGGTGGATACAAGAATACGAATAATCATATGAATTTGGGGATAGACGTTGAGACAGCTGAATCACCAAACTTCACCTGTCCTCTTAAGTCTTGTCGGACGACACTTTCGATTAGAAGTGATTGGTGTCGGAATGGCTTCTTAGAGATATTGCACAGGTAAGTAAATACTTAAACCTGTCAAGCTTCAGTAGATACCTATAGATGTCAATTTGTCCTTCTCCGATAATTTTTGATAACTATGGAATTCACTCTTTTCTTCTTTTCCTTTAAAAAGAAGAGTTATCAATGAAGATACTGAAGAAGCAAACCAAGAATGTTTTTCGTAATTTCTCGTAAAATTTATGACAATTGTGAAAAACTCCATTTTATCTACATAATGCGGTCTTTTAAATTTTGCTACGATTTTTTTTTGCCGAGTTGCCGTACTCATGTGGCATCGTGCGTATTAATGGCGCGCAATCATCCAGTTTCTGTCGCCGTGAAGAGCCATGTTTAGGCGCTTAAAATTGATCATATTTTAAACCGCTGTAACTCGGCGGTTATAAATTATCATAGACAAAAAATTAAAATAGCATGTTAAAACTTAAAATTTGTACTATCACGTGCTTTGGGCCGTTTAAAAAAATATTTTATTTTCACAGTTCTGAGCTGAAAAAAAGAACACAGTACTTTCAACACTCTATAGCTTGATAAAAAACGTCATAAATTTTGCGAGAAAAATTTTTTTATCGAGTTGCAGAGTGTTGAACGTACGTAATTTTAAAAGCAAAACAATGTGCTTTTTTTTTACTTAGAAGTATAAAGATGAAAATTTGATTTCGAGCTTCTGAAAAGTGTTCTATATTTTTTTGTGAAATAGTTAAAATACATATTTAACGAGTACGGGCATTACAACATATACATAGCTCATATTTAACGAGTACACATTACAACATATGCATAGTTCCACACAGAATTATTTTTCTGTTACATAAATATCTGTTACAGATTTTAGTCAATCATATTAATTATAATATATAAGTATAATATAGTATAATATAATAAGTATATAAGTATAATTATAATATATAATATATAATAAATCAGCAATCAATTAAGATATATTTTATAATTATCATTCTGATTAACGTCTTTGTTTTTAGTATTTTTGTCGCAAATGCAATGCGGAAGTTCGCGTTTCGTAAGATACAATTATCATTTAACGCTTTATCAATACGTTAGGCCATTACCGCCAGCTCACATCCATCGCCTAATTAGTCGTGTTATCCCAGTGACACGTGCCGGTCATTTGGCGTCGCGCTGCACATCTGCGAAACTAACAATAAGACAATAGATAGCCGGTTGCAGCTGCTTGAAAAAATGGGACAACTAGTCGCACTGCAGTGAGAGCGAGAAAGAGAGCAAATACAGGACGAATCTATTTCATTAGTTTGCACCCCTCCGCCAGTTAAAGTAGACACTTCGATTACCTTCGACCGTTTCCGTAAAATTTATGTCTCTCTTCACGAGCAATTTTAAGCCTCGATCTCTCCTAATTTTTGTTTTGCTCCTATTTTCAAGGCACATTTGCAACTGAGTCATCACAAAAATTACAGTCTCTTCAGAGTATTATCAATTATAATTAACCGTATTTTTCTTCGAACTGAAACAATAATATTTGTTTAATTAAATCTATTTTTAATTTTTGTTAGTCTTCGAAATACCGTCGAATAGCATTCTCAGCGCGCCTTTTACGTTTCTTCTTTGTCGTTTCGATTTCTTTTAAGACGATGATAGTTATCGCGGCGGCTTGATATCGTATGCCAAATTACATGGTTAACACAAGCCGAAACGGGGAGGACACAATTGGCTCGCCTGTAAAGATTCCAATCTTTCGATCGTAACGAGTTGCGACATGCCTCGTTGCCTCTTCACACTCTCCAATCCTTTGCTGCCTATCCAATATAGCGCGCGCGGGGATTCTCCATTCGTCGTTTCGATCCGTGTTCGCTTTAGAAGCTAGTCGATCGTACGATCAAGACCTAAGTCCGATGCACCCTCGCTCATTGTGCGAGGCTACGCTGCCGTTCAGGCGTGTTAAAACGTGATGCGATAGATATTGAGAATTAGAGGAATTTACACATCAAGATATTTGTTTATTGATTCACGTGAATGTATACTTCGATGATAAAAGGTATCACGATGCGTCAATGTGTATGAATAAAAGTTTAGTAATCGGATGTTTATACGTGCCAGAGATCTCTATGGAATTCAATACCGAAACCTTCGACGAGAAAAAAAAATTCGTCTTTCGACTAATATTTCCGGATCTTTTCTCTGGATCCATTTGCTCGCAGTAGCCGGCTCGGATATGTGTAGTTTCCTTATTGGACAACTCCCAATGGAGATGCACTGCTAATTCCATTGAATCGGATTTTAGCTGATAGAGATCTGCCGTGGACGCGGATGGAAGGATCTGTAAACGCGGGTCGCAGTCACGGATTTTATATTGCGTCACATTCTTGTATCCCTTGCCGCGTGCACATACCTGACGTCCTTTAAATTGCGTCCGACCCCGATACGTCGCGATAAATGACAACGTATATGGCACCGTGCCGGATGGATAATCTGTCCATTAGTTGCCGCGATTACGATGTATTTCTATTTGTTACACAGCACGTCAAACAACCGTTTGGTTTTCGCGAGCACCGAGAACGCTATTCCATTCTGGTCTCCTCGGCACGACCATGTGTTACCCATGCAAACATTTTTGTTTGTCCGATAACCGCGGACTTCACACCATCTTCGACTCGAACGTGTCTCCCAGCAATCCGAACGGAGAGTTTGCGTTTTTAAACTTTTCTTCATCCGTGAACAAATATTACATAGCAAAGCCCTTTTCCTCTGGAATACCTAAGAAAGATCACGTCCCGATAAGGATGGCAAAGATTTCACACCTATCTTGATGTATCTTTGTGTACGACCGACTACATAGGGGATAAATGCTAGAAAGAGAGAAAAAATGTTACTAAAAATAATATATTTTTTTCAATATGTGTATTTACACAATATTTGTGTATATAATTTCGCACACAACAGATAAATAATTTTTATTTTATAATGATAAAAAAGAGAGATACTGATATCTATTTTAAAAAAGGTTTAAGAACAGCTTATTTGATAATATTATTTTCTTTTAAAATGTCCTCGCAACACTACTTACTCTTAATACTTCAAATATCTTGGTTTCACGTGAACATTCGGTGACGACAACACCAGGCTCCATAACTTACGTCCGCCTTGGCTTTTAGAATACTGTAACGATTACAGCATCTGAGCTAGTGGTCTGTAGTCTGTAAAGAGTTTAACTGGTGAGACGCAATAATTCAGAACATTCTATGGTCAACTCGGGCTAACCTGAAAGGGCTAAGATATTTATGGGTTGCAGCTGAGCTCTGGCTATGCAACGTTTTCCACTTTGGAATAAGGGATTCACCCTGCTCGCCAATAATCAGCGCGTTCCTATTGAGAACGTGGTTCTCAATTTTTAATGCAGTCTTCAATTTTATTTGTATAACATTTTTCGAGTCGATTATTATCAATCGGACTTTATTTTTGACATTATTTACACAATTTTAGAAATTGCGGTACAATAATTGTAAAATTACCATATTTCTTTATTAACGTTATAGTAGATTAATTAAAAGTGAATAACACAGCATAATGTAAAATATATTTTCGATTCGTGAATAGAAGCGTCTCTTTATACGAGAGATCGTTCAATAATCCCTAAAGATATCGTCGTGTTTACACCGTTTAAATATGAAACTCCTCGCATGGATGCGTATCAATGAGACAATCGCAATCCCTTGTAATCCTTCCAAAGGTTCGTCGCCGCTTCCTACCGCGACACGTATGCCCGAAGAAAACCCTTTCACGCAGTCGAGCGCTCTTTCTTCGAATCGTCAGCGAAACGAATCAACGAGACTTTCATTGCACCCCTTCGGCCCTCGTCCCGCCTATTCTTGCCGATGTAATCGAGTCGGAAAAAAGACCGAGACTACCCCGCGACCCCTTTGAGTCTACCAGCTCGTAGACTCTGACGGGCGGGAAAGAATCATGTTTTGGCAGGCCGCGATAATGTCGGTGCAGCAGTTTCCTTTGACGAGCTACCGTAGGTAGCGCTAATGGAAGCTAGCGCGACATTCGAAGGTGGTAGCTCGTGAAACGCGATCAGGATTTAGCCCCCGTGACCCCCTGGTCCCTCTCTTCAGCGTCACCGCTGGCTTTACCCTTAATCCGCCTACGCCGAGTGGACACCGCCACTAGGATACAATGTCGAGGAGATCCATCTCTCTCTCTCTTTCTTTTTACTTCGGCTCCGCTTGGTACTCTCGTGCTATATATGCGGCCGACTCTCGGCCACGAAGATCGGTGGAAGCATCATCATTTTCGTCACGTGTCGTTACCTGACGCGAGATCAAGTTTCTCGATGGTCATCCGGCGCCGTGCTTCGCTTGATTGCCGAGATGTTGGACGAATCGAAGTGTGAATGGTGCAAAAATCCTGTGGGAATAACTAAAAGTCGCGCTATACGTTGTAGCTCCTAACAAATCTAATATCTACAGGCTTAGAAACGAAATTCTTACAGGATCGGTCACAAAATGTTCGATATCTGCGCGCCGAAGAGACAAGATGACGGTAACGATAGGCTCCACCGAAGAGATTTGGTTCTGTTGTAGACTAATTTATAGTCGAAATAGTTTGAACGACAAAAAGTCGACCCCTATCCTTACCCAAACACTCAAATAAAAAGTCTCTAATGATCGTTCTCCAGTGATTCCAAGGTCAAATGTGTTTCACATTTACCGCACGATAATGACAACCTTTTGAAATTCCATTGTCATTTATTGGTGGTCACGCCATAATAATTTGTCTGGAACTCAAATTTTCGGAAAGGAAATTATTGCTTATTTTTAACCCGCTGCGAAATCTTTTGAATCTTCACAGCAGGAAAACTGCATTATTATTCCTGTTAATCGCAAACACATTTACATATGAAACTCTTTTCTATTATTATTAGCTTCCTTTTATTATAAATAAATGAATATTGGTTTTGAAGTTAATTAATTAGAAGTATCATAATATTTTTGTGTACGCATCGCTACTTTTCGTCG